CGCCGAATGGAAAAAGAAAGCAATCGTCGCGGTTTCTGTATTCGATAAAGCCGCGAGACATAGAATATCGCTCGGCCCGTTTGTGTATTTCGCTGCCGCGGTCAACGGCAGACGAGCAACCAAAAACGAAAGCAGCGAAATGCCGGAAAAATGAATGGACAAAACGAAGAGATAGCCCGGGGTCACGAAGATACGAAGGAAAAGGAAATAAAAAGTGAGGGGGGAGTGATTCGATGCATATTGCAGTCGGTCTGTTCTCGCGATACCGGATAGCACGCGTTCGCCGTAAAACCTGTCGTTCTGCCGTGGTTTCAAGTAATTGGCCGCAACGGTAACGTCGATGGGAAACGCAGCCGCTTCGAGGTCGGTCGAACGATAACGATAACAATAATATCGATCACCCGGGGACGGTTTGCGGCAACGACGAAAGGGACAGGGACGAGTTGGCGGAGGGGTGGTGTAGGTAGAGTCGCGGAGGGTGGCGACGACGAACCACTCGGAGCGCGTTGTTGCATAAAATTGTAAAGCCCGGACCGACGGTGGCGGCGCCGCGGCGAGATAGCTGCAAACAGAGGCGAGTTAATTTAAAAATGCAAATTCCACCGCAGGGCTCTTCTCCTCCCCCGACCAATGAGGAACGGCTGAGCGGGGACAGAGGTGGCGGGGTGAGACAGCGTGGAAAAGGGATGGGAAACGAAAAAAAGAGGGTAGAAACAACGGTGTGCTGGATAGTCAGAGAAAACGGCACCGGGCTCGATGGAAAATGAAAACTAACTGTTTACGATGTAGGCTACAAATTGTTTTATAAACATATATTTTTTGAGGGAATTTCAAAATATCAGAAAAAGTTTCATAAATCGATGTTCTTCATGTGACAGCAGCCGTCTGACTAGTGAACGTCTATAACTACTTGAGTGCAACGAACGTTTTCGAATCCTCTTACCGATGCACTTTTAATTTGATCAGCTTTAAACTTATGAAAATACTTTTCGCCAAATTTCTAGTTCGACGCAATCAACGAATAATGAAATTAATGGACTGTTGTATAATATAATGAAATAGATCGAGGTTCGAAAAATAAAAGTTCGCGTTCACTAATTGCCGCGATGATGGATGCTCGCGGTGACCCAGTGACATGTGGTTGATTCCAGAAATCGGTTGCTGGTATTCCCGGGGGTCCCATTAAAAATTCCATGCATCCTCGAGTGAGGTTGCCGTCCAACGTAATCACGGGCACCGGCGAAATTACGCTTGCGCGGTAACATCCCGATGAATCTTTCTATCACATTGCGCTCGTGATTTTGATAAGTAAATTAATGGTTAGTGGGAGAAAGAAAGCGAATAACCAATTGCTACTTTAACGAATACATACATAAAATTTTTATTATAATATAAATACATTTTCTATTCAAACATTGATAGACATTTTAATTAGACGATAAATTTTTGTTAAATGATCAATCGGTCGTCCCGATGAATAATAAACCTCTGGCAATTCAGCGACGTTGAATCGAACGATCTGAAGAAGGCACGTACTCGAATGAAAAGCTCTTGATCTGTGCACTTAGATAGCTATAAGCAGGAGTGTCGGTTTCGCACGGTCGAACGATTCTTCTTGCGAACATGGGCGTCGGGTTGAGAACCTCTGGGTGCAATCTTGTACCAACTGGGGTTTGCGGGGTCTTGGGAGACGCGACTTCGGTTCGTAACCTCCTCTCTTGGGGTCCTGGCTACGACGAGGGTGGAGTGAGGAATAGGGAAACAGGCGAACCGTGGGATGGTTGAGGCGGAATACCGTGGGGGTGAGTGGGTAAGAAGACTACTTGGCGAGTGGAGGAAGGCGGAAAAGGAAGGAGTAGGATGGAGGTAGTCGATGGCTTGGGATATATCCGTAAGGTCGGCGCTGGTTCGATGGTATGGGTGACGGTGGTTGGGTTGAGACGAAGCGTCGTGGTGAAGGAGTCGCTCACTCACTTACCACCCTCATGGCTCCGACCACCAACCCCAATACCGCGCACACCACCGATCTTCCCTTTCCTTTCCTCCCTCGGCAACCACCACCAGCATCTCTGGCTGCTGCTTCTGCCGTTGCTTGCCAACTTGCTCGCCTACCTCTGCTTGCTTGCCTGCCGGCAGACCAAGTCGTCCCTAACACTACAAAATCTATATATCTACCGTGTACCCAACACCCTCGTCCCCCGGTCCTCTTTCCACCTCTCGCTTCCTTTTCAGGCCACCCCTTTGAGAGCAACCGACTGCCTCCCCCCTCCCTATTGATCGTGGCGCGAGAACCCTCTTTGCTGGAAAGCCTGCTACCGTCTACCATCCCGACGGAGGCTACCTAGGTGTAAGTAAACTTACGCGAACGAAGGTCGGATCGCGTACACGCGTAACCTGGAGAAATACACAGGGGAAGAGGAAGCGAGAAATAACGAGACCGGTGACAGAGAACGTCGAGTGCTTTCGGTGTTTCGATGCGTTCGCAGACAGGGTAGATAAGGCTTCCGAATACACCGAAGCGGGTTCGAAAGGTATTGTGCGAAGGAAAAATTGATCGCGGGGAGGAAAGGACAACGAGTGTCTGGTGAAACAGTTCGGATAAACGCGGAGAAAAGGAAGCCGATAAAATATGAACGAACGGGGGATCGAGTAAGGTATAGGTAGCACCGAAATGATCGACTGGAAAGAGTATCGTGTTGGCAAAGTGGTAGCCTCTCAGACACGGCAGTGAAGCTTGCCAGCCGTTTCGTTCCCTCGAGGCAGCTACGAAAGAGAGGATAGTACCGTGGCATAAAAATTCTATGACACGTCGAAACTTTGGCAACGACGATTCATACGGTTCCTTTTATCCGCGCCAGCCAACCATCCCGATTCTTCGAAACTTATCTCGCGCTAACCATCTCCGTTCCGACATAAATCCAAAGATCTTCAGAGATTCCTCGCATTTTTATGATAATGCCTCGCCTCTTCGTATTCTTTTCGCGAGATATCTCTTCCGTTCTTCTTCCGAGGGAGAACGGATCGTTCTCGGAAATATCCAGTCAAACTCGTTGTTCCCCTCTTCTCGCCTGTTTTCTTTTACCCTCGATTTATCCGAGAAAAGGAGATCGCGCCGGGACGCGTACTCTTCGGCTCTCGTCGAGGCTTTCCTTTCCAGGAACACGACAGTCGTACCAGACCGACTGCAGTGGCTGCTGCTCGGATAAATAGTGACTGGCCATTACCAGGTAACGAGAGAGAAGTAGCTTCTTCCTTTTTTTTTCCCCCTCCCTCTCTGTCCGCAGAGAAAACGAATCCCACTTCTCGTGTTCTTTCGTTCGAGAAAACTCGAGCGGGGCACGTAATACGGCTCTTCGGGGATTCCTTCCTTCCTTTGAGAAGTCGTTGGACGCGAGCGTGTGTTTTCTTGCGTCTTTCCCGGGAATTCGCTTCCCTTTCCCTTTGTTCTCGCTCCTTTTTGTCGAACGAATCGTTTCGACTCTGCGAGATATCCGACCTGGAAATCGAAGCGAATTTTTCGATGTTCCCGGATTGCCTTCGCCGCGTGCCTTCGCCGCACCTTCCGGTTCGCCCGGATAATATCTCGGAATACCATTCTTTTTCTACCAGTTGATGATCCTTAGCCGCGATAAGAGGGTGAAACGAAAGAAAATTACTCGTAAATCCTGTGAAATGTTTCTTTGGCAAGGCGTTGAAAGATGCGAAGCGTAAGCTACGATAACGCGAATAAATGGAAAAATATCGTCGCCGTGGAATTGCCTGAGAATAACGAAGGATTTTAACTGAGCGCGGAGTCTTGAAAGAATAACCGTCGCGTCGGTTTCCTAAATCACCCTTTCATTTCCCTTTGGTCGACGCATGGGTTCTCCAGACACGGGCAACGTTGGGTGGGACGATACCGAGGCGTCGGGGTAATGGACCGAGCCAGAGGTGGCAGTGGATGAGAGACGAAGGGTAATTGAGAAGAGGAGATTTACTTTGGGGTCGGGAGAGGTTGCGAGAGGGTAGTTTACGGTGTTGCTGTGGATGGGGCGTGCAGTTATCGGGGACTCCCCTCGCCGATGAAGAGGAGAAAGAGACGCCATTTGCCGTATCGACGACAAAACTGTCGCTCGTAAAACTTCTTGTCGATCATATCTTCGATCACTTTCGGGACCTTCGTATCTCCGAGGTATTGGCAGCAGCATTTTCGAGACCGATTCGTATCCCTTTTCTGCGGAGAAGATAGTTCAGAAGGGAAGATCTCTCGGAAATTAATAGACTCGATAGATTATTTTTGAAAAGTGGATAAAAACGTATTCGCATCGAATGTTTCGAAGCAAACAAAAATTGCTTGTCTCGATTTTTATAGCCGACACCTTTCAGTTGAGTCAACGATTTTTCTGTTATTTACCTTTCCGCTTTTTCTCGACGACGTACGTGGTGGAATCGTGGAAGGAAGCGTAATTAAATTGCCCCTCGGTACATCGACGGAAAAATATTTCTCATTTAATCGTGAGACGAAAGAATTTCAAACATTTTAAACACGAGTCTCGACACTTCCGTTTTCTTAATCGTCGCGGGGAAAAATCGTTATCGTCAGATGAAATAATACAACGAAATCGACTACCATTATTCGAAATGAAACCAGGATATACACCAGGTCGGGAGGATTTCTCGCGATAAATTTTAACGCCCATTTTACGACGTACTTTCCCCTCGTCTTTGCTCTCTTCAAACAATCATCCTATGACAGATGCGTGTAACCTGACAACGATTACTTTTATCCGACAATATTTACCGTTTCTGATAAGCGATCGATAATACCGGAAAGAACTGTTTGATAGTTTCAACATTATCTCGAAAATATTTGTTCCCTCTGTTTGAAATGTACAAGTGGTTCTTGTAATTAATTCTAAACATTTGAAAGGTGTTGCGAATTGCAAATATTGAAATGAGAGGTTTTATCGATTGAAATTGCAAACATCGGTCTATATTTTTGTTAATTTTATTTGTTACAGAGAAACTCGATATCACCGGCCGAACGTGAAAAATACAGTAGGCCACGATCACCAGACCCTCAGCACCACGATCACGTTCCCTTGAAGAAGATGAAGAAAGAACAGGACAAAGACATGGGCCATGTAAGTATCCCAGAATAGTTCTTCCTCCAATGGTAATTCCTTAGTAAAACGGTACATTTTTTCCCCGACAGCAAAGCGATGGTGAAAAGAGCGACCAGGACCTGGTAGTCGACGATGCGAGCGAAGGACCAGGGAGTCCTGCGGCGAATGGCACCTCGTCGCCAAGAGAAAACGGCCTCGACAAACTTGGTCCATCCTCGGTGCCTTTGAACAGCCAGGTGAAAAAAGAAGCGCCACCACCTTCGCCGAGAAGCGGAACGAGCAGCAATGCGAGTACACCTTCGGCTAAGAAGATGGAAGAAAGGGAGAAACCGACCACACCGATCTCGAAACCTGTCACACCTACGTCAGCAGGTTCGTTTAATGTCGTTAAAATTCATTTTAATTACAGTACACTTAGGATCTCGTTGATAACTTTGATAGAAAATTAAAAACATTAAGAATCTTTCTCGTCTACGTCGATCAATCTTTCGGGTTTCTGTCGATCATTCCGATGGAAAGTAGATGACAAGTCTGATGATGTATGTATGGTCGACAGGTGGTAGCAGCTCCGGCTCCGGTGGTCTGAAACCATCGAGTTCCAGCAAACCGCTGGTCTCGGCTTCGGCGGTCGGCCCTTATCCGCCACACTATCCGCCGCCGCATCATCCACCCGCAGGACCCCATGTGGACATGTTGGGTTATCCTCCTGCACTGAACGGATATCCCGCAAGACCGCCGCTTCAGCAACTGTACGATCCTCATGGAAGCATGAGGGCACCTCTCGGACCTCTCGGCGTACCTGGTGGCAAACCGTGAGTACTTTCCTAACCCGTCGATTAATTCCTCATCTCGTTAAAAATAGGATAATAAAGCCGCGAGTTCGGTGGATGATTCGTGAAATTTCTAAAATTAACTACGATCTAAATATTATATCAATTAGCGGTAACAATCACTGTGGAATATCCCAATTAAAATCGGGTAGCGTCATAGTACACGAATTTCATTATGATCCATTGTTTTGCTATGACTGACAATCGTTCGTTTCGTATTCGGAACATTAATGAATACACAGTCATTTCCGCGAAACTTCAAACTTCTAATTAGCATGGCATAAGTATACGTTTATGTCATTAAATCGACCATTTGATATGCAATCACCTGATCCTACGGAATGTAATTTTTTTCGCGAGACCAATTATCCGTTCAGACGACGAACGATTGCGAGGTTAAATAAAAAGTATGAAGGAGTTATTTAAAGTCGTTTTGTATTTCTTTGTTCGCCAGGGCGTACAGTTTCCACGTATCGAGCGAAGGGCAGATGCAGCCGGTTCCCTTTCCACCTGATGCTCTAATTGGACAAGGAATACCGCGTCATGCGCGCCAGATAAATACCCTGACACACGGGGAGGTGGTGTGCGCGGTAACGATCTCAAATCCGACTAAATACGTTTACACCGGTGGCAAAGGATGCGTCAAGGTCTGGGACATCAATCAGGGCGGCAGCGGTAGCGCGAAACACGTTTCGCAGCTTGATTGCTTGCAACGAGACAACTACATCAGGTTGGTTGAACGCCACGCCAACACGTCGCATTAACTTTCCGCTCGGTCTAGCAAACGCGGCGACACGTTACCGTTGCTGAATAAATTCTGATTAGGCGTTCGTTGAGCGATATTGCGGTCTCGTTTGCCGCCGCTCTCGAAATCATTTCAACCTCTCCGAGTAACAACCGCTACGTCTTTGACACGTGTATCTCTCTGACTAATTAGAGAAGCTTTCGGTGTATTCGTCTCGCACGTGTTGATATCGATTAGCGTCAAAAGCCAACCCTGTTCTTGATAATATTTGAACTTTCGATGATGACACTCTTGAAAGGTTCAAACGTTACGAACCCAGACCGTGTGAATCTAGAGTCACGTAATTAATTCTGAGATATTATATCTGAATTTACCGATACAATTTTTTGTTTCTACGATAAAAACAGATCGGTGAAGCTGCTACCAGACGGTAGAACCCTAATCGTAGGCGGCGAGGCGAGCAACCTAAGTATCTGGGACTTGGCGAGTCCAACGCCGAGGATCAAAGCAGAATTGACCTCGAACGCTCCAGCATGCTACGCTTTAGCAATCTCCCCAGACTCGAAAGTTTGCTTCAGCTGCTGTAGCGACGGCAACATCGCTGTCTGGGACCTGCAGAATCAATCTCTGGTCAGGCAGTTCCAAGGACACACGGATGGAGCGTCTTGCATCGACATATCAGCCGACGGGTCCAAACTTTGGACCGGTGGGCTGGACAACACGGTACGTTCGTGGGACCTTCGCGAGGGTAGACAACTACAGCAACACGACTTCACCTCGCAAATATTCTCTCTTGGCTACTGTCCGACCGGTGAGTGGTTGGCTGTGGGTATGGAGAACTCAAACGTGGAAGTGCTTCACGCGACGAAGCCGGACAAATATCAGCTTCATTTGCACGAGTCCTGTGTACTTTCGTTACGTTTCGCTACCTGCGGCAAGTGGTTCGTCTCGACCGGCAAGGACAATTTATTAAACGCCTGGCGCACACCGTACGGCGCCTCGATATTCCAGGTAACATTTCAACCTTTTATCTCCCAATTTCTTTTGATACGGATATTGAACGGTAAATTAACGAAATCATTTCGTTCTGTTTCAGTCGAAGGAGTCCTCTTCGGTGCTCAGTTGTGATATCTCCACCGATGACAAGTACATCGTGACCGGATCGGGCGATAAGAAGGCTACCGTGTACGAAGTAATATACTGAACTATCCGTTCGACGGGATACGTGTACGATCGAAACACCGGATGTTATCGAATACGTCACGTTTCTCGAGTAATCGTTGGTGTTAAAGAAAAGACGGAGCTCGGTTTATACCGGCGAAATAAGATGTGTTCGAAACATGTGAAGATGTTCCAAAGGACTTCGAAAACGGAAGAATGTAGAAAATTGAATTTTATCCCGATGAAACTATCGTTTTGTGAATCGTGCGATACTCCGTCAACGTGTGTTATATTTGTTAAATTCGGAGTATACGTGTCAGCTTACGTGTTACACAGGAGGCGAAGAAAAAGCTGTGAAGAACTGAAGTTACATTATATAGATATGAATATATATACATAAAAGGTGGCAGAATGTTTTTTGCTATTTAAGGTTGTATAGAACGCATGGTTATAAATAGGCCTGATAAATGACGACGACGATTGAGAGACTATGCGTGATTACGTGATCTTTTACTATCGTTTGACTTCGAGCAGGAAGTCGCTTGTGTAATATGTTACTAATGTAATATAGAATTTTACGATAAAGTATCATAATTGCGACCGTGAGAGATGCAAGGTGAAATGTTATCGGTAAATTACCGTTGCGTGATGTCCTCGTGCTTTTACTATCGACGAACGAACGAACGAACGAACGAACGAACGAACGTAGATACGCCTGAGAAACTTGTATGAAAGCGGCACGAAATAGAGGTATAGATCCGTCTGAAGTGTAAGATTCTGTCTCGTGTTGCAAGATTCTACGTAACGTATGAAACACAAGACAGAGGATGAACGAAATAGCTGAACCGTAGATCTATGAACCGATGTAATTTTCATCGCGCTAAGATGTATAAAGGAAGCTGAGAACGTTGCGTGTGATCCTTGATATTTCAATTAAGAAGAGTATAAAAATTCCTCCCCTTCGCCCCTTCGCTCTCTTCTCCGCCCCAAACAAATTTATATTCGTATAGGATCTCGTTGAGTTCGAATTTTATTCTTTCGTTGCTCGTCTAGTACGAACTAGTTTCGTTTGCTCGTAGCGTGAACTATGCGTTCGGTAACTGTGAGGAAATTGTGAAAGGCACGGAAGGATAAAAATGCAACAACACATTCGATCTCTCGGCATTCTCTGTAGGAAGCACGCGTTAACGGACAACGTATATCGAACTTTTTTCCTGTTATATCGTGTTCCTAGCAAGATGCGATATTTTTCAGTACATCGAATCTTCTTGTCAAAATAATTTTCCACGATTCCACGCAATCTTTCCGTCGATGTATCTTTTATTCTTGGTACATTGGTAAAATCAGTTTTCATTCGTACAATACTTTGCATAATCTATCGATCGGGAAGAGAAAAAGTTTCGTAAGTTGTCCACGTGGTATAGGAATTCAGACGTATCCGATACGATAGAGACGAACCGACGAATGAATTCCGAGCATCGGATGCTCGCGAACGAAGGGCTGCGCTCCATAGACACGTATCCGCGGGATGTTCGAACAGAATATTTTTGTGACTGTCCACGACGACCTTTTTAGGATTTAATTTTAGCAAGTCAATCGACGAGACGCGTATGTCGGTGATTGATTTTCTATCGCAACCGGAACAAATTGAAGGTATAATAGTACACGCGGTAATTGAATTTCTTGAGATGCCTGCGAGACGGCGTATGATTAAAAATTAGGATAACACTAATAGGTAGCGCGTTATTATTCGGATCTTGAACGGTGAAAGCAGGGGATGCATAATGGAGATTTATATTTTGTTACAGGAAAGACACACGTTTTACATTCGCTGTGATCGTCGTAGAATCGACGCTGTATACTGCCTCGCGATCATTTAAAAAAAAAAAGAAAAAAAAATAGGAAGTTAATCGTGAATTTATTTGAGAAAATTGGAAAAGAAAAATAAACGTAGAAATCGAGAAAGCAGACTAAGATTTTCGACGAGCACAGCTCCGACGATAGACCAATAGAAACAACGATACCTCAAGAAGACTCAATAGTTAATTATCTCTTTAACTTGTACAGAATCGATATTCTTTTACAGTGAATGATACACATATGCCCACGCATACACACATACGCACCGGGAAGACATCGACAAAATATGAAAATATTTCACAGCAGCGAAATCGTGATTCAACATCCGCACCATCAGTTAACAGTTTATAGTCTCGCTCGTTCATTGAATTGTGTCTCCGTGTTCGCAATTTTGCACTCCGTGTGTACGAAAGTAAAAAAAGCAAAAAAAAAAAATAATAATATGCGTTTCCAGCCAGAACAAGATGACAAAAGAAAAAAACGAAGAAAAGACAAGCGTTAATCCTTTCCAAGCACAGTTCATGTTGTTCCTATAGCTACGCGAAAATTGTTTCTTTCGACAATTAAATCATCTATATCTATATAAATATAACATTTTATTTACTACCGTTCAACCCTTCTTTCAATCCTTTCTCATTGTATCAATAAGATTTTAGTAGATAAGAATAGAAAATTAGAAAGTAGAATTCAAAAGTTACGGACCCTGAAGCACCGGTGACCTCTACAGAGTGTGTTCACCCTGCTTCCTTTATATTCCTGCAATCCTTACATCTCTGCATTTTTTACATCCCTACTTTCTTCACATCCCTTACATCTCTGCATTTTTTATATCCCTACTTTCTTCACATCCTTTACATCTCTGCATTCTTTACATCCCTTACATCTTTGCATTTTTTACATCCCTACTTTCTTCACATCCCTTACATTTGTGCATTTTTTACATCCCTACTTTTTTCACATCCCTTACATCTCTGCATTCCTTACATCCCTACTATCTTCACATCCCTTACATCCCTGCATTCCATACATTCCTGCTTTCTTTATATCCGTGCATCCACAACATCCTTTACATCCCCGCATCCATTATATCCCGAAATTGCATAAATTCGGTATAAATTTTGGCCCTCTGGCGGCAAAAATTGGAACTAAATTCTCGATGTCGAATCAGCGCCCTCTGGGGGCAGAAAAAGGAACTAAACCATGCTGAAATTTTGGCCCTCTGGCGGCAAAAATTGGAACTAAATCTTCGATGTCGAATCGGCGCCATCTGGGGGCAGAAAAAGGAACTAAACCATGCTGAAATTTTGGCCCTCTGGCGGTAAAAATTGGAACTAAATTTTCAATGTCGAATCAGCGCCCCCTGGTGGCAGAAAAAGGAACTAAATCATGTTGTAATTTTGGCCCTCTAGCGGCAAAAATTTGAACTGAAATTTCGAAGTCGGATCAGCGCCCCCTGGCGGCAGAAAAAGGAACTAAATTTTGCAAAAATTTAAATTTAAAATTATTTTTCACGAGACTTTACTTACCTTTACTTACCTTTACTTACCTTTACTCGAACCAGTGGCCATAAGTATATTATTTATATAGTTATTATACGGGTTGAAAGGATACAAGAGATGCAGGGAGAATTCAGGACTGTAAGGGATACAGAGATATAAAGGGTACAGAGATGTAAGGGATGCAAAAATGTAAGGGATGCCGAGGTATAAGGAATGCCGGCATATACGAGATGCAGGAATATAGGGAATGTAGTGATATAAGGGATACAGGGCTGTTAAGGATGCAGCCATGTAAGGGATGCAGTGGTAAAGGGTTGGGCCTCATGAGGCCCTTAAAGACAAAAAAATAATAAATAACTGGGAAGGTTGAACCGGGGCCCATGAAGAGGGATAAGATAATAAATGACTTGGGAGGATGATCCACGCGAGGCCCGAAAATAGGGGTAAAATAATAAATAAAAGGATAAAATAATAGGCGAGGCACACATATGTAATAGAATCAACATATTCATGCCCCTAATGAATTTATTCAATAAGCTATAAAGATATATACAGCAAATCCTTCCTTTTAATAACGCGGTAACATGTCTATAACTGAACTATATTAATAAAATTGTATTAGGTTTCTTTCCATAGATCAATTCGACTTATCAATTAATTTCCAGGCAGTCGGTAAATTGTCGCGCAGGTTCCGCCACTCCTCGATAGATGGCGCTGGTGTTGTTTCCCGAGTCACTTTTACCGCACCTCATACTGACCTCTGAAATGATCCAATTTTCACTTCCTTTGATTCTATTTCCTTTTTAAATCAGTCAAAAGCAGCACAAAACTAAACAATTATTATTGTAATTGTTTGACAAACTTGTATTCACTTCATGCACTTTGGTAAATAAATCATTTGAAAAAAGCAACTGAGTTATTATTTAATTTACCTAATTTTATTGCTAAGTTATGTATTTAATGCTCGTAATTTCTGTTCTTAGCTATTTATTTGATTGACTTAAATTCTTCTATCATTTTAGTTATTGAATGTACATAATTTCGTTTCGGGGTCCCTGACACCCCGGCTGCTGTAATGTTAGTATGCAGTATCGCGGTTGCTCGGGGTCCCGAATACCCCAAGATGATATGTCGTTATGCAGTGTCGCCGATGCCTCGGGGTCCTTGACACCCCGAATGCCAGATTGTCGGTATGCAGTGACGCCGGTGCTCGGGGTCCTAAACACCCCAAGATAATATATCGGTATGCAGCGTCGCTGTGCCTCGGGGTCCGTGACACCCCGTGGTGATATGTCGGTATGCAAAATCGCCGGTGCTCGGGGTCCCTGACACCCCAAGATGATATCACGTCGGTATGCAGAGAGCGCCACTGATGCATCGGGGTCCTCGACACCCCGGATACCAGATTGTCGGTATGCAGAGTGTCATCCGTGCTTTGGGGTACCTAACACCCCAAATGATATCGGTCGTTCTCATTGCACAGCAGTTTCAGCCACTTGTGTATAGATGGCGCTGGGGTAGAATTTTAAAAATAATTAGTGGTCGTCTTTTTAAAGTACAAATTACCTAAAGCACTGTTCATAACAAGTCCATAACAAAGAAAAGTATTGAAATATACTGAAAAACAACAAAATAGATAGATGATGCCATATATTTGAAACAGAATTCCTGCTGCTCTTGAACTGTAGTGGAAGAAAGTAGAACGTTTATTCTAATGAAAGGAGAAAAGGATCAAAGACAATAAAATAACAAAAATTTAATTTTTATCATATCTGTATTTGTACAATATCCGTTTATACATCTTACATCTTTCTTATTAAGGGGATAGGCCAGCTGGGGGGTTACGGATGGGGTACACAAATCCACAAAGTTCCTCGAGATGAGAAATGGGAGAAAAATTCGAAAGACTCGCGTGACCCATTCATGCTACAAAAAAATCATCATTCATCTTTGAATTTCATCATAACAATAATAAATCACCAGCTACGTAACAATCTCTCATTTGAAACACACACTTTACACTACATCAGATACGGCTTTCGAAAAAGTTTCTTTTTTATTAAGTCATCTTCGATTTTCTGTCACGCCTAATTAATGATCGTTGAATTTTTCCTTTTTCTTTTCTAATTAGTCTTCATTCTATCGGTCCTAGAACAGTGATTTCCAACCAGATATCTATTTTTATTGGTTGGAAATGTTTAATTGTTTAATTTGCAAAAGGTCTGCTGTATGCTTAAAGAATAACTTTTAATCTGTAAATAATAAAAAGACAAAAGTTCGGTTCATTGTAGATTTATAAAATGTTTTGCAGTAACATAATAAGAAAGGCAAAATTTTAGATGGTCATAGATTTTTGCAATGATTTATAGCAATTTAATAACACCTGAAACTGATTTCCAACAAACCTTTTGTATCAATTTCATACAATTTTCATTGTTAAAAAAGAATATCGTACTTATAGCCGTTTGATTGTTATCAGATAATAGTAGAACAAGACGGAAACGGTTTATTCACGAGGAATCATTGTGTATTAAGTTATTTAGCGTGTACCGATCACTGATAAACTCTGATAACTATAATTTGTTCATTTTGCAACATTGATAAAATTACTGACATTCAACTTGTTCGTTTCCGAGGAACCATTGTAATTATATACTCTTTTTCTGTATCGCTATTTCATAAACTCTGTGATCATAGTTTCATCTGTAACATCGATAAAATTCTGTACATTTAACTCCCTGACGAGAGAGGAATCTTAATATCATGGTTGTCTTTTCTCGCTGAATCTTCGGCTAATTCCATAAAATTATACGATTATATATACTTTCAACATTCGATAAAATTATTGACTCCACCTTACAATATACTTTCTTATTAATTAAACTTTCGAACCAACAGGATCGGAAACTTTTAGGACAAAAAAGGTTGAAACACACTGTCCTAGAAGGTATTTCCATATTGGTACAGTCTGCCAGAAAAACATTCATATATTTTGTTACAATTTAATTAAAATGTCTTGTTTAAAAAATTATTGTTTATCAAGCTACGAATTCAGAGTCCAACTCTTTCGGACTAAAAATAAAATAAAGTAATAGAAGACATATTTCTGAAATTTCTCCATGTATCTATTTAAAATAAATACAAGTAGTAAAAAATAATTCATAAAATGAAAAATCTGAGATCGGTCATGTTGAATACTTTCAATTACAAATTTTTTCATTTCTTGATTTTATGAAAATTATACAATGAAAAATAAACCCTTTAGCACAGTATACGAATATGTTACTGACAGACTATTTATAACTTCTCAAAAGTAAATAAAAAAGCGACTCAATCTAAATTTCTATTACGAATTTCCTTACACGCGTATATGCTACCGCCAGAGAATGAATCGAACAGTAGTCAATCTGTGTATAGTCGCTAAAAGTTAATCGATACTCGAATTAATCCGTAAGTCTAAAACGCATACCGTGGTTCTAATCCACATGTGCGACAATCAACACTTAACACGTAAGGACATCACATGAAATTTTCTGTATAGAGCGATATATCATCTAAGTTTTGCTCGACTAACTTTAAAATGATGCCTCACCCAGCGTCTACTACAAATTTTATAATCCACGAACATCCGAAGTGTAGATAAACGATAAGAATAATAACGATAGTGAGAAGAGAAAGATAAGAACCGTCTGGCATTTCACGAAGTCTCGACATGATTTTTTTTCTTTCGATTTTCCGTAGGGAATGTTAGAAGCATTATAGAGATAATAGTCTTTAGAAAAAGTTAAGTGAAATTTTAAATAAAATGACTGAATTTTAAGTAATTTTGTAGTAAATGACTCTTACGTTAGTAATTCTAACAATAAGAGTCTTGAGAAATAGTAAATGCACTGAGATATGGTGCAAAAGTTATGGAAAAAAGTTTTTGAATAAAAGAAGATGTGATAATGTTGCTATAGAGCTGAAAAAATAAATTTTTGCAATGTTTATAATATCGTACAATAAAATTGGATATATTCAGAAATTAAATTTGAAATTTTTCAATTTAATTTTGCTATCAATTAAAAATCTATTAGCTGACTTTATGGTGCCATTGGTTTTTAACTAAAAATCAATTAATCAGCTCTTTATCCTTTAATAATTTATCTATAATGCAACCAATAATTAAAATTGATTATATTGTACGAATCACTCTTTTCAATTTATCATTCCTATTAAGTTACAAAGCGATAGTTTATATATTTCATCAGCAAGCTGCAGATAAGATGTCAGTATTTACTTTCACTTAGAAAATAGCTCAGACTTTTGAGTGACGTTATGCATTATTTAGAATGATTGAATTAAAAACGCGTAAGAGTATCTAACACCTTTGTAGCTGACGTCTGTAGGTCTTGGATGAATATCGTCATCCTTTGGCATCGAGGTACATGTACGACCTAAAAAATAACACCAGTTTCCAAATCGCTCGACACTTAAAGCATTAATCGTATTACATTCGTTTTGCGATAACATAATGCTTTACAAGTGATCAACCACCGATTGTCATTTATTCTTAATGGCAACGGGGTCGTTCGTGTATACCTACATGCAACGTAGACTTCTTTGGGTTAAAGAAAAATGTAGAAAGGAGAATCTCCCAATAATTTTTGGGAAGGTATTTAAAAAACAATTATATAAAAATAGATTAATAATACAAACGTAATAAAAATTTCAGCCATCGATTTAGAATTTAAAATGAGCTTCATTAAAAACGTACAATCAAATGCAAATTAGGCTTCCCAAATTGCTTTATATTTTGGAAGAACTCGAGAAGAGCTTGAGAAAAGTCTGACAGTTTTCTGCCTTTGTAAATAAATATGGAAAATAAAAATATTGATGGGATAATTCCTCCCTCCACATTTTTTTCTTCTAATTAAAGAAGGTCTACATTGCCTGCAGGTGTACAGATGCACTCTCGTTCATACGCGAGTGCTTATGCATGATTCTGCGAATGCAGGTGCACAGGTCGCGACTAAATATCCATTAACGAAGATCAAGCACTCTGAAAATATTTTACTTTACGTTCGCTTGCCTTTTTCTCGGTTTTAGGCCGTAATTGAGCAGTATCTGTACAACTCGTATGAAACTGATTGCCAAAGGGGAATGTCATGATTGTAATTCAATCGTTTTCTGTGAATTATTGTTTCAGTCACACGTTAGATTTTTAATAATCAAACCTAAGGCAAAGATTATTAATTTCCTCAAATTGAAACATGACTATTGTTATGCTCTCTAATCAAAAATAAATCTAGAATAGAAATTTGCTATATTATTAAGAGAAACTTTTCAAAGATTCATTTTAAATAGAAATGGCACAGTGATACGTAGAAGTACAGGTTTAAAACATCGAACCGAGTCTACCTTCGTTACTTTCTAACGGCAAGCAAATCAGAATCTATCGGTTCAATTATATTTAAAGGAAAAGTGATATTTTTGAGCCAATCAATTAACAATACAATAAAATATATTCACTGATTTGTTCAAAAGAATCACTTTTCCTCTAATTATATTGAAAGATGATCAAGTTACTGTAATTAATTACCATTAATTGAATCGTATCTGATTTCCCGTCACCTAGTCGCGATTTCAGTGAGATTGTCTTTGACACTTAGACGTTAGAACGAGTACATACAACACAGATATGTACGGGAAGAGGCTGTTGCTTGGATGTAATCCCTAATTTCTCATTTTTTAGATCGTATTTCGTTTCGATTGCAATTCAAAGAATCTTTGGAACAGAATGCAACCGATTGTTACGACGATGTGTATCGCAGGTACATACAATACAATTATATCTATACACCTCTACACCTATTATTTTCTACACCTGATCGTGTTAATTACGATTACGTACATTCACGATTAAAGGAGGTTTCCTCAGGGAGCGTGACAATACATCCAGTTCTCATCCTTCTTCTTCGGCGGTCCCGAAGAGACTGACAATGGAGGGGAGAAGGCCCCGTATATATAGGCCTGTAGCCTCCCACCACTTGCGCATAAACGTGTGCGCGGGAGAATTTGAATTGATATTTCTTTATAATTTATATTTCTCAGTTATAAACTAAATTTTATAATATTTAATCATTCAAAATTATATTATTTCTTTTCTAAATTACTTTTAACATTAATATCGTCAAAATTAAGGTTTTGAATATTAATGGCTCACCTATATCGCTATTTTCCCTAAGGATACCTATTTTGATGCGAATGTACATCACTGGATCAACGATCACGATTGTCAATTTTGATACGGCATATGTACGCATTTTCTTACCTTCCTATGTATATAATATGTATATTTATGTATATATATATATATAGAGATTTCTTTCATATTTTTATATATCTATATGTATAGTATTTTATGTAGGCGATACAGTAGTCACAAAGTTAGGCAGACTTGATTCATACTCGACATCGAAAGGCTGAATCTCGTTTCGTAGAAAAAAGTGGTGGGTTTTAGTCGAGGGAAAAGAGACAAGTGCTACTTTTCATTTTAATATCCTTCGTATTTGATCCTACGATGAAAAGAAGCTTGAACGGGTGTATGACTGCTCAAAATTTTGGGTCAGAATTCCGAACACTATTTGTATAAATATCTGATCAGAACTGCTATCAAAAATTAGAAATTCTATCATAAAATTTCAACCAAAGACATATGGTTATACTATTTCCATTTTAGTGAATATTCAAATTAAAGTTGAAACTGCCTTCTTTTAATTATTAAAAATGATGAAATATTCTGAAATGAGGGATAGTGCAGCTTTCTATTTAAAATAAATAACCGTGAACCGTAATTTTGAGAATCCACACACCCCTAATTATCGAAGAAAAAGCAATCGACCATAAGTTCAAGCTTCGAAATCGCGATCACTTTCAAGCAGAACTTCGTGAAATATCACCAAATCGGAATAGCGTTAACGATTTACAAGGACAATTAATAATAAAGTAGGTCGCTTCGAAGTCTAGTAGAAAATGCGCCTACTTGTGTGCCTTAGCCATTTACGAAGGAAGAACTTCTCTCATCTACGGGTTTCTTAGATGATTGCATTCGTTCAAGAGGATTGTCCGTGCGATTTAACATCGGACGAGGACGTTTTCGAGGAAAGCTCGATTGATTTCAAGAAAAAGAAAGAACGAACGTGTTATATATTTTAAAAAGCTTTCGTCAAAACCATCCTCGCACCCGATGTACCCTTAAAGAAACGTTAGGATATGTTTGTAGGCCGATCAAATTTTGCAGTTTGTCACTCTGCTCGAGTGTTCTTTTCGAGCTTCTCCTTTTGGTGGACCACCGTCAATTATTTCAAGATTGTTTTAAAGATCTGGGCAATTTAGGGTGTCATTTTGGGTTACTTTTGGATATAGTTAATAGAACCCTAAAGTAATGTCAGAACGTTTTTTCGTATTTTCTTAACTTTAGATTTCCTTCTAATGCGAAATTTTTTATATTTCTTAATCAATATGGCTAATTTAGATTTGAATTAGATTGGATTTGCGGTGATCTAATGACTGCCATAGGAATACTGAATTGCCCAGACCTAGTGTAAGAAATAGTCATACTCTTGTTTGGAGATTGTAAGATTCAATCAAGAGAAATTGAAAGTGAAGAAGGGTTCTCCAATTATCGCTGGGAAAAGGTCATCGTCCACGATAATTAGTAATTTCTTTGGGTCATAACAGATTTTAACCTTCATCGTATACTAGAGATTGACATAATGGTCCATATTTTTTCTCGTTTATTGCTCTATGGGGTTATCTGTTCAAATAAAAAAATGTAAACTTTGTTGACAACGGAAACTTCAATTCCTACGTGCATATGATTTTTTATCTATTTACCGGTATAAGGATGATAATATTTCTGATTTTAATACGTGAAATTCAACACCCATACGAAGAAAAATTGTTACGAAAAAGGTTAAATATCTGTTTAATAATGGAGTTTGGTCAGCGAAATATGGTTCATTAACACTTAAGCTTGATTGCTTCGAATTATCGTATAACGCACCAGACTTTAAGTGTCTAATTTCGTGCGTACATTTATAATTTGTATTTCACGATATAGTATAGAGATTTTGCTTATAATTTGGGCGGGGTAAGCGCAATACTTTTAGGATTATCATTCACGTATCGTTTCGATTCTTTCGCGACGTTTCTCTTTCCTCTGAAATCCTTTGGTATTTTTGAAGCGAAAGAAGGAAACGTTAATTTAATCTCGAGAACTACTGCCAAATTCCTAGTTAATATTCTGTATATAGTGTAGATCATTGATCGATGAATCGATTGATCCTTGTGAATTGATCAAATTTTTTATAATTAAAAAATTTTCAAATTGAAATTAATATCTGATGGAAGAAATAATTAATTTCCTAATTATAATTGGCATTCGATAGAAGAAATCATTTTAAAAATTAAAAAGCTTACCCATTCTTTGGTGGATACTGTTGCTAAAATATCATGTACCTAAATTAGCCAAATTTGAAAATTAATAATTGAAGTAATAAATTTCTGAATGTCTACGTGTCTGTAACAGGAAGAAGTTGCAGCAGTTCTCGACGATTCTTATATTCCACGTAATCCTCGTTCGAGGAATCTCTGTTGTCAGTCTACGAGCTACAAAAATTGCTTGACGTCTAACAACAAAATTTTCCGCTTGCCATTCGTGTTTCCCGTAAAATTGTTCCGGTAACCATTTACAGATTGCTCTTCGTGTGTTGGGCTCGGCCAGCGAGCCTCGGTGACGATTGTCTATCGTTAAAATAATTCAAACAACGCAGGAGTTATCTCGATTCAATATGTTAATTCAATAAATGTATACACTTAAAGAACGACTAAGTTTTCATTTTAATTTTCAATAGTGAACATTTAAATATTTTCATTAAAATTGAATTGTAAATTATATATTGACTGGTAAGTGTATATATTGATCAAAAATTTAATGCTTTATAATTGCACAAACAACCAGATTCCATTTATTTCTGATCATCCATCGAATTTTCTTTCCTTATTAATTTTCGAGATACCTCCACGAAAGAAAAAGATAATGCAATATTCGCACATTTTCAACGAGACACGATCGAATCTCAAGGCTGGATCAACCAGAGCATGCGTTACCATGACAGATGTCGATCGTCTTTCGTTTACGTCTCCGTCGATCCTTAATTTATGGGAAAAATGGACCCTCGTGTGTCTTCACAATAGAATTCAAAAAATGGTTGAAAAAAGGCATAGTATTAATCAATTAATAAATTGCAGAAACATATTAAAAAGACCTTGAAAATTATCAATATTAATCTTATCGATATTTGAAAAGCAAAGAGTCAAGATTCGTTGTACCTAATAAAAAGGAAACATAATTAAAGGATACCATTCAAAATTGATTTAAACAAGGAAAAAAGATTGTCGAAATGAGAAATAATGAATGTTCCATCAGGAGATAATTTTGACGACGGATTCTTCCTCATCCTTGAGCAGAAGGCTCAATCTGAGGTCGAGCTCGCCGGCCTCTAGGGCCCACTTTTCCCTCAGCCATCATGGAGAATCAGCTGTATGAGTACCGAGAGTATGAATAGGAAACAACGGATACCAATCGACGGTCAATTTTGTCAATGGGAGCCGATCGAGGCTCACTTCCGCCCCGCCTAAACCTTGATTACTCTCGAACGCTTGTTTCTTCTCCCAAAGCATCACTAACAAATTCCTTCCAAGAGCGTCGCAGCTGCTGTACTTGAGGGTTTGACGATATTGCGGATTTCTCGAGTGCCGAATAACGCGTGTTTTACGCTTTTGAAGCCACCTGTCGCCGTCGCGAAGATACGTCTTCACGTAGGTATCTGTATTGTAATTTAAATTGATAAATCTATAGCTGAATTTCAAATTTAAATGCAAAAATTAAAAGAGATGTTATTATAACATCGACCAAAACCTATATCCAGAAATGCTTTATTAAACAATTATATTTATAATATATAAAAATGACAAATTACCTGGTTCTTCTTTCTCACCGGGACATATGTCTCTGGCACAGATGACCTCCACTTCGAGAGTCCCTTTGCTCAGACAGAAACCAAGCTTCACTTCGCCATTTTGAGCCCCTGAAATTGATCAAAATATTACACGGTTAATGCAACATTTATTAGAAAGGGTCTTCTTTAATGGATTTAACGTATCTTGTTTATTTCGATGGGAAATAGAATTGAAAATTTTAGTGGAATGATGTTAGGAAGTGAATTTGGTGAAATTTTCGCAAGTTTTACCAGCTATGATTTTGAATCCCTTTGGTGGCACTTGTCCGCGACCCAGATTAGCATCAACGCCATTTTCGCCCCTCGTTTTGTGACTAAAAATGAACGTGAAAATTAGCATATTTTAAACTGAGATGAATTGTGGAAAAAAAGTAATATCTGGAAACTTAGAAAAAAGAAATAAAGTTCACGAGTATCTGTAAGATAAATTATATTTAGTGACAATAGAAATATTTCAATTAATTAATATTATTTAGATTAAAATTTATAGCATTTGCTTGAATTTTGTACATTAACTTTTATATAGATATGATTGTATATTTGATTTTGTTTACCTCCACTTTTCATCCTCGTCCGATTCACTGTTGCGATCATAAAACCTCTCTGGAATATTCATGACGCTGTCTTTGCGCTCACCCCGCCCTGTGAATTACAGGAAAATATTTTCTACCTATATTCTGGTGTATTTCACGATTACCCGACCAGCAACCTGCGTACCATATGATACATTTTCTCCCATGATGACACGTTGATCTTGCTGTTATATCCCGCTAAGGGGAAAAAGAGTTATTTCTCTTTCATCCCTTTGGAATACGCGAATACACCCTTGGTCAAAAGTACGAAACCATCCAAAGTGAAACTGATTAAGTATTTAAGAAACAATATATGCAAATAGTTTATTTAGTACCTTATAAAAAATAGGTCCTTTAGGTGGAATGTGGAATAAATTTTTTAGTGGCCCAAAGAAGAAAACAGAAATTATGATATATATATTTTTCTATTATTATCGCTTCAGCAATAAACAATTGAATTTACCTAATGTTACCCTATGTAATAATAGAAAAAAATATATCTATTAAAATATATATTATTGACCAAGATATGGAATTACGCAGATTGCTGGTGATACTGAATCTTGCTGTCTATTTACAATAAATTTCCTAATTCTCGAAGAAACTTACTCTACAATTAAAAAAGCTACTCAACCGGTAGAAAATGTAAATATCGTGTCATAATTATGTACAAACTTATCCGTCCCGATATCTGCAATAAAAGGATCAATTGAATGAACAGAAGACACTTAAAGATATCACAGTTTTATAGAAAAAAAACTGCACAATTTTCTAGAGGCAGCTCAGAATGGAAAGCGAGAAGAAAGGATCAAGTTGAAGGATAAAACAATTAACCAACGTAAAGAAGCCTACTTACGCTTTTTCATTAGCTACTTGTTGCAAAACTCTATAAATGGAACGGGATACTTCAATTGTAGCTAATTCTTCAACGCCTAAGAAATTACTGCCATTAACATCGCTATTATCTACCATTATCTGCTGCTTCTACGTAAGACGAGTACAAATGAACGAGTGTGATGATTAGTCGATGAAATACGTACAAAAATGTTGAAGTTTCTTTCTATCGATCCAGCAACTTTAATCACGTTCGGCAAATATTTAACTATTTTCTTGTCTTGGTGTTAGCTTAGATTAAGGTTACTGTATCTTCTATCGACGTTGAATGAACTTTGAGAACCAGTTTCAAACTATATCCAACAGATGTTTCTTATCAAAATACCAATTTAGTACTTGCTCTCTTACAAAAGTTTATTGTTTAGTTTACAATTTTCCAAACAAAGATAATGGAAAAAGAGATATGATACTCCTAAGTTTCTATTTTGATGAAGAAGAAAATAGACAAAATTGCATTCCCAAGGTGATCAGTAGATTAAATTAAAGATTTAAAAATTTTCTGTAAGTAATTCTACTGGGTAGTAGATAAGATAAAAACACTTACCACTCATTTACAAAAATTAGTCAAACAACAAAATCGGAATTCCATATAATTAATCTTTGATGGAATAAATCAAAATTTAATACACCCTACAAATATATAAGAGAATAAAGAGACGTTTAATGTTAAATTGAAATCGTAGCCATTTCGATATCTTCCCCTTTAAAGGTGAAAATTCACAGAAATATCAATGGGTATCGACCAGCATTTAAATTTAATAGTTGGGATTCTATAACAATAATATTCGATCAAATATCTGAGAGTCACGTGAGAAATCTATCATGAAGCATGTTTGGTAGGAATACCGATAGCATAGTTGGAATCTATTGGAAGATTATGGGAGGATTGAAATTAATGGGTCAATTTGTGGCGTGTTTGACCATCAAAGCAGTACCGTTGAAACTATGCCTCCTTATATCAGTACGTAATTGCTGTGGGTTAACTGATAGCCCTGGAATCCGCTGGTACTTTAACAAAATTAAAATTAAACTTTAAAAACATTCTGAAAACGAATTTATATTTTGAATTACTAATCAAATTTTTAAATTACTGATTATTAATAAAATAATAAAATATTTCACCATTTTGTCATAACAATCTCTGTACAATTCGTAAATGATAACAAAATGAATTTAAAAGTTGTCCCGAATCGAATACACTGCGGTAAAACAGAACAAGTAGTATAAGTCAATAATTGGTCAGACGCGCGCTCGGCGCAGAACGGACTAAGTAGTACGAGTCAATGATATGCCAGACATGCTCTTTTTACACATTATACTATTAATTTTTTTTAATGTGATATTTCATTATATTCTAGAAAATAGTATTTTGATAAATTATATAAGCGTGGGTTCTCAAAATCAATTCAAAAATGTTTTAGAGTTTAATTTTCCTTACCTACGGTGATGATTGTAGATGTAGCAACGTGTGGTTAGCGATTACATGTATTCTATCACTAATTCTACGATACTAAGCAAATATTCTAATCTACAAAGCACTACTATTGCAAATCAGGAGGAAGGTTCAACGCGAGAAGAGGAAACGGAAATATGTCGACGCCTACTTGAGAATACCTTGACAGATATTTACTGGATGCAAAGTGCTTTCAATTGTTGATACACGCTTACATTTCAAACAACGTTTCGAGCATAAAATACAACAGTCCTTGGCATTTCCCATTTTCATTTCCTGCATTTTCTTTGACATGCTAATCAAAATTTCTCTTTTCATTAAAAAAGTTGCGAATGAAAGAAGGGAAACGTAACTTATTAGAGGGGTTTCGTATAGAATACTACACAGATCCATTTTCACTATTAGATGTAATTATTTAAAATACGATCCACTCTTCAATTCACCATTTTCACTCGATACCTCGTAATTTAATATTCACAGTTCGAATGTCACAATGAAAATGGACAATGGACTAATTGTTTAATTGTTCAAATTACTAGTGCGACAGTAATACTATTCAAAATATTCTTCTCGATTATATCGCTGATGTTACTTAACACTTTCAATTCTATTTTTTAATCACTCAATTGTATTAAATTCGTGACATCAATAATCGATGTCCCCCAATCTTCAAGACTCTTAAAACTGAAAACCGGTGGTGCTCCTTCAGAATTGGCAGAATATTAAATCATCCCATTAATAATTCTTTTGTACCACTTCTAATTTTACTATTTTAATTAAACAACCTAATAATAAATTTAAATGAATTATACTTGACCCCGGACATTACTCGTAAGATGACCTAACAGATAAAAGAACGTATAGGGCAAGGCAGGCATATAGGCAGATAGAGAGAAAGAGAGAAAGAGAAAGAGAGAAGAAGATCTCGGGTGTGAATAGAATAGAGAAAGCGAGAAAATGTGTCTTACCGGAAGTCGGAATTGACGGTGGTCCACAGTGTCCTGTGGTTACTTATCGTGGTGGTATTGAGTGGGGCAGTGGGAAGGAGGCCGATTTACCGGTCCTCGGAGACACAGGCTCGCACTGCCACACAGTAACCGTTGGGACTACGCACGCTGCTTGTCGTTGATCGATGGATCGGTTGTTTGGTGGTATTTGGTTGGTCGGTCGATCGACAGGGCCCCCGCCACGATTCGTCGTCGATCGTGGTGTCAGGATGGTGACGATGGCCGGACGGCGTTTCGACCGAGCGAACCGAGCATTTTGATCGACCGTATGGGCATGTCAGAGGATTAGCCGGACGGTGCCGACCCGAGAATGGAGATCAAGAAATATCAACAAAAAGAGACAAATTGCACAGAACACACTGGCGTTTGGCGATGGCAAAATATGGGTGGGTTTTCGGTGGTTTGGCAAATAACAGGGACATTCTTCTTTATCGAAGATATAAATATATAAATATAGAACAATTAGCGGCATAGCTGTTTTACATTTCGCGTGTCGAACGTGAACGAAGAGCCAAGCCTACACTTTTATTTGCTTATTTTCCAATTAACATGGCATCGGAAACTGACACAATGGCGTGTGAATTAGGCACATACGAAAGAACATCGGAAGCTGGAGAGAAGGTACCAAGGACTCGACAGACTCTTGGCGATGCCTTCTCCTCTCGTTCGATCTTTACACGTCTTCTTTTTATTCCGCACACGGAATTTTCATTTCGTTCGGCCAAAACGGTTGTCGGGTCGTTGGTGGTTTCAAAACTGGCACAGGCGACAGGCAACAGCGGCGCAACAGAGCGATCGCACAGAGATGAGCACAGAGCACAGATCACGTGTGAACTTTTTGAAAATGCCAACTTCACCAATGAACAGAATATAGACAGACAGACAGAGACAGGATGATACGAATAACGAAACTTTGATCATTTATTGAACAGCCCTATCAGATGAAATATACATTTACGTACCCTCCCTCTAACCCTGAATGAAACAACGTCCAAGTTTTCATCCTTTAGAGTAACACAAGCACGTGATCCTTTCGAAGGATTTATCGTTAAGCTCTGTCTAGAAAGAATTCTATGAGAGACTTTTGCTGCTGATAATCGCCACATGTTGGATGATCGATTATCGAACGTTGAATCGACGTGGACATATGTGAACTTAAGAAAAGAAAAACAAGAAAAAAAAAAATTGAATTGAAAGAATCGAAGCAAATAAACGAATGAAATCGATCGTTTCCGTCTTTTTCGTTTTTCTCATTTTTCTCGAAACGATGAAACGATGCGGGACTCCTTTCCAGGCCGATCCGTTTCCGGTTATAGAAATTCTACGAGGGTTGACTTGGACCTTGAATGATCGTTAACGACTGTAGAATATACTTGTTCGCTCGGTCAAATCGCGCGAGATATTTCATGACACGTGATATCACACGAAGACACACGAGTAAAAATAGTGAGCGGGAGAAAAAAGAACAGACGAAAGTGAAGAGTGCAAGAGATTGAGATAGAGAAAAAGTGATACATGGTGACACGTCGGAGACACTCACAATTGTTAGATATCAAAGGCCTGTGAATGATGTGACGAGACGCACATAAATGTACACAAATGATTACGGACCTACACGTATGTAACAAATAATTCTTTACTTAATTCATTAATCCTCATAACTATATTTATTGAAAAGATAATGGAAAACCAAAGAGGGTAATTTTTTATTAAAATCCCTATATCAAAATAATAGAAAAATTTTAATTAAATAAAATTAATTAAAGTCTCGTTTAGAGATTTAAGTGCTTAGCTAAACAGAAAGAAAATCACAAAAGTACAGCTCCAAAGTCCATAGTTCTCAATTGCAAATAACTTCTCCTTACAAAGAAAATTTCTTTCCCCATTAATTTCAATTAAATAACAAACTATCTCTTAATTATCTCCATTCATTGTACCGAGCCATGAAAGAAAGCAATAAATACAAATGTATTTTGTAATACAAAGGATCGTTATTCTTCGCTAATGGCGCTCTAAAGTTTCCATAAATCAATGAACCATCTTTTTTAATTTGCTTCTCATACGTGTAAGTACGTGCAGAAAACATATATTCGCATGCGTACGATACGCACGACGTTGTCCGACGAGGAAGGTTCGATCTGCTGATCGTCTCTTTGGACGAAGACGGATCGTTCAGAGCAACGATCCAACGATTGAGAACGGTGGTGGTGAGAGAATAAGAGAGAAAGAAGGTAATATAGAGTGCGGGTGAAAGACAGACGGACAGACAGATAGATAGACAGACAGGCAAACAATTGCACGGATGAATGAAGGAATTGACGAACGAACGGGCGGATGGTTAGGCGAATAATGATGGCCAAAAAATAAAAAGAAGCAACGTAACCATACTCACGGCTTTCGCGTCTTTTGTCTCCGGAGAGACTCATCGTCCTGCCTAGTTCCCTTTTCGCGGCTTTCAGCGATCGTAGACCCTCCATGATTTCCTCTGGATCCCTCATGGGTCTGGTGAACGAGCTACGTCGACGATCGCGGTTGTAATGCACTATGGCTGGCATGTCAGCCTCCCCCATGCTTCCTCCTGCAAAATGAAATGTCAAAATGACCCCATGGGATCTCGAGATCTAATATTCAGCGAAATTATGGAAACAGGGACGATAGACGTGACAGTTGATTATTTTTATGTTCTGCTGACTCTGGTCCCCGTTGCTTGCAGATTTCTATAAAAATATTGCTATTCATCCCTTTACATCCTCTACGATTTATAAAAAAAAAAAGTTCGCCACTCTTAAGTTTCGTCTTCAGTTTGCTATCTCCATGCAAGATTCTATCCTATATGTAATAATGTTAGAAAATTTCTGTTGGAACTTACGTTTACTATCGGTACCGCCCTGACTCTGAAAGCTACTTCGCCGGCTACCAGGCAAAGATCTACTGTAATCTCTATTGAGTTCGTACGGTTCGACTTCCAGCTGCTCGGACTGACTGGATCCTCTTCTCGAATTTGCATGCCAAGCGTGATCCGGATGCAGAAAGCCGAGTTCCGGACTTCCGCTGTCGCTTTGCGTATCATCGCTGTAACTTCTTTCCCGTAGTTCCGTCTTTCGCAACAATCTTTGGGCAATCTCCATGGAAAACGAGCTACGGGGCGAACAATATGGTGATTTGCTCGCACGGAGACCTCGGGGATCTTCCAGCCGATACCTGTGAGGAATTTTTTCAAGAATATTACTCTTTCATCGATATTTTATTCTCGGATACGGAATATCGATACACTCGGTGTTTTTATTTTAATATACTGAAAATTCTTATTTCCCGTTCCTTCTTAATGGTACCTGACGCCATTTCCCTTGGGTTTTGGCCCTCTAATCAACGAATGCTAATTGGATTTGTGCTTAGGAGGCGGACTTAGGCCATAAAGGGTAAATCGTAATACGGAAAGGTAGTAGAATGAACATCTCCACTCTTCTGAATGGCATTTTTGGTACAGTATGGTAACACTTACCAACATGCTCTGTCGTTATTGAGAGCTGCCTCCAAGTCGACGCTGCATTCGCCGAGAAAAACATTATCGCCGTCGGGACAGAAATCCCAGAGTGTCACTTCGATCGATCGTTTCTTGTCGGAAGAGCAGAAACTTTCGCCGTCGACACCGGAGAAGAGTAATGTTGCATTCCAAATTGGCTTTTGAGTTGGCTCGGCCACTGCCGTTTTCAAAGTTATCTGATCAGCGCTGGAATACACAGAGGAATAATAATATTAATATCATTATCGATGTTAAATTCGAGGAGAAATTAAAAGGTGGAGTTATGAAATTTTTAAATAATTAATTTATGGATAATATAAAATATTGTATACAATGCGAGCTGACCCGAGGCTTGAGTTTAAAATAAATTATACCTTCTCCAAAAAATTACGCTTCTGTATCTATCCCTAATTAAATTACTAATAAAATTATTCGTTATTAAGATTACACCTGGCATTATTAATTTTGCTACTTTCATTGACACGAACACTTACCAAATCGGTACAAGGACTAGTTTGGCATAAGCTTCCGGTAGAGTACCGTATCCTGTATCCTCCCTCGCGCACAAATCGTCGGCCATAAAAACGGAAACGATCAATTCTTTCCGTTCCGCCTCGTAGGATACTTGAATCTGTACTCGTCCACTCACTTGCTTCTCCTTTGCAATTTGTTCCTAAAATAGAGGAGAAATCGGTTCAGTTCCTCCCGTTCTGTCGAATCAGCTATCAGATCAGGAAAGAAAATAAAATCGCAGAGCCTACGAATGAACAGAGACGTGATCCTCGTGATGATGATCAAGGGAAGCAATCGACAAAGCATTAAACACGTCTGTGCATCACACGTGACTCTCAGATACAAGGGTGTTCGGTGGAAAACGGATTCATTCCCTCATGCAAAAGCTTTTTTGTGAAAGGATAGTTGTAGATGTCAAACGAACAAGAGCGAGCCATCTATGACACAGAGGATAACTTTAGCCTTTGAATTTTCATGGAAATTTTTTTTTTTTTATATCTACAGCTACAGAAAGGTGATAATGGTTATCAGTGATAGACAACCTGTGTTTGACAATTTTTTCTCAATATTTATATTTTATACACTTTTTGATCATCGATGCCTGAAATTATTATAATTTAAAATAACAAACTTTCCATTTGTCACTTTGCATAAAATTTTCTTTGATCATTTCTCTTTTAATTATTCAATTACACTAAATTTGCTACTAATTCTCATGCCGCGCTATAATATGGCTATATTACTGTGGAATAATTAAGATTTAATTATTTTATTAAAAGCTGCAAATTGGAATTAATTATATTAAAAATAATTTTGAAAATAATGTTACATAAAAAGAAAATTAATTTAGTTTGCAATTCAAACCTAGGATGTATATTTTCTCTTTTTTTTTCATAATTAATTGTTGTCCATCACTGACTTGTACGATACAGCCAAGAAAAGGGTTCGTTTCCATATTATCTTTATCGCAACAACCGCTCGTTGATTCGCATTTCCATATATTTTCTTTCTTCCTTTGATTCCATTAGTTCTTCATCGGAGTCCCTGGTACAGCTTCATCTTAATTTCAATATCTTCTCTCTCTTAAATTTAATTTATTGGCTAATCGAGCAACGGGAACAGGAAAATTCGTTCGTTTACCATTTTTATTCTGCACGTACCGTTTTCCCCGACTGTACGTACAGTGTTACCTCTCTAAGTGGCACAAAAATATCATTTTACCCGCTTGGAAATAATTATTAATTAAACAGCACGATAGCTTATAGTTTCTTAAATCATAAAAACTACAATACAATTACACCTATAAGACAAATTTAGGACGAAATAATTACACAATTCTACCTATTCTAATGTTAAAAAGGATGGTTATCGCCTAAAAAAAAGGGGAGAGAAAAATATTTCTATTATTACGAAATACTAGAATGAACAAATTGCCACTTAGAGAGATAAAAATCGTGCCACTGGCTAGAGGCAATACGTGATCGTGCTCTAAAATTGTTACTCGCTGAAAAATCTCTACGCAAGCTAAGGGTGTGCGTGTCGTCGCGGCGCTTTTTCGGCCTTAAAGTTATCCTGGAACGCGAAGATTAACACAGGCCACTGATGAACGCAAGGAACATAGCGGAAATGAAATATGGTAGCTCGAGCCTCGCGGTACCGCATTGATTTTTCTGCCTCTTCCGATTCGCCATCGATAACCTTCTCTCTAACGAGGAAAAATAATACCATCGGTACTCGTGCCTCTTCGCGCGAATACCTTTAAAGCCGAAGCGGAGTCGCGAGGATTTAATGCATGGCGTTGATGTTGTATGTGCCATCGATGTCAGGCTACGATTTCTTTTTTTTTTTCTTGCATACGCTTTCCCCTAGGATTTCATATTTTTCCAATCGCAAAATAATCACATCACCGACCTCTTTCCTGTTTATCTTTTTTCAACGAGATTGTAATTAAGGAAGTGTTCCCATTAGGAGAGACCGTTGCTAAGTAATTTTTAGAACTAAAATTTAATGAAATTTTAATACATAATTTTTTGTTTAAAGGACTGCAATAATATGAATTATGGCATTAAAAATGATGTACTTTAAACAACATTTAATAACTTAATTAAACTTAAAATTTAATTTAAGAAATTACTTAAAAATAGCCTCTACAAATGGGAATACCCTCTTAAACTGATTTAGCTTCTTGATCCCGTTCGATTCATTAATTTGTCAGATAATTGCGTCTGCCATTAATTGAGTCTAGTCAGGTGGATCAATTAATTGCACGTAATGTACCATTTAATTTCAAGGTGCTCGTTTGTTTGGTTTGATGAATGCAACTAATTTGTACGGACCTACTAATAAATTTCATTAAATTGCACACGTTTCGTTGCACGTGAGTGGATTTTGTGTACAACGCCGTGTGGGTATAGATACAATTTGGAGACTTTAAAACGAAGCAATTAAGTTCGTTTATTGAATTACTGAACTGCGAGAAAATGGATACTATGGAAACTGTACACTCACTCAGAAAAATATTCGAAAAAAGAGAAAAGTATACAAAAAGTACATTTATATTTCGTAGATGGTGGTTGCATCTATACTCCAACATTTTAAGTTATTAATTATACAAAAAATGGATTCTACAAATCGAACGCGATCAATTATAAAACTCATAATTTTTTTAATATTTCAAGAGGCAATGCAAATAATGGCTATTACTAGAATCCTTCGTAACCGGAAGTTTTAATGAACTTTGCTAAAAGTTCACCACGAATACCGAAATATTCAAAGCGCCACGGTTTCCTTTGATGCATTTTGAAAAATTCTGGGGAAAGCGTAAGCCAAACGCCCGCATGTTTCGTTTCCAGCGAAAAATTTTCAAAAAGTCCCTTCAGTGGTGGTGGTCGATCGATAAAGGAAGTCCTCGGACGTTTGGCGCACGTATACGTGATATTCAGGAGGAGTATGTTGTTAGTGTAAATTCAGCGTTTACGAACTAAAAATCGTTACGTGGGTAGATTAGACGTATGTACAAACAGACAGATAGACAAACAAGTGAGAACAAAGAGCTAGAGAAAGTGAAAGATAGAGAGAGAGAGAACGAGAGCTAAAAAAAAGAAATGAAAGATAGGGAGCGATAGAGGAGAAAGAAAAAGAGATTCACCCTTCGTTTCAATGTTTAATACTTTGAACAGTCTAAATTAGATTCGTTTGCCAATTGTAATTAATATTAATTATTGCAAATAACTAATGGGAAGATTAAATTAAAACCTGAAAACCTGATAAATAATTATAATATCACTATGATTAATAATTAACTCATTAGTGACCTATTTTGTATTAATCTGCAATTCAATTTGCAAGTGATTTGCAATTTATTTTCAATCTTTTCAACACCGACTGTTAATTGGTTAATTAAAAAAACAATTTTAGTCCTTTAATACCCAACACTATTAATAACCAATATATTATATATTTTCATTGAATTTTGTGAAACGAAGGAATGGAATAATCAGAAAAGTAAGGAAATATTCGGAAGAAACTATGAGCTTGTCACTGCTAAACGATGAATTAGCCATACCCTAAACGACAGAACAAAACGATAAGTAACGAAACTGAGGAGAAGAAAAATGAAAAAAGAAAAGGAAAAGGAACGCAAATAGACGAGCCGCAAAAGAAAATGAACGCTAATATACAACTAGAGTCGTGCCAGTTGGGAGAGAGTAGCATGGAGGGCCAATATGCTAAGTTCAGTTCAAAATGGACAACTTACATTTCCTTTTCTTTTGTCTTTCGTCAGCGGGTCTATTTCTCTTTTAGTCTCATTTTCGTAGCCGAACAATCTCTTTAAGGGAACGAATGATGACAAAAAATGGGGGTAGGCAGAACAATTACAGGTGTACACATGATAAGACTCAAGGTTACAGAGAAATACACGTGGATAAACGTCGATGCGATGGAGGACGTCACCGGAAGTAGAATTCAAAAATATATATATATATAGACAGAGAGAAAAATGTCACGTGCAGCTTCATAGAGCCGTACAGGGTAATAAAGAACACAGAAGTGTAAAAACAGACAGAGGAAAGTATAATAGTTGAAAGGTAAAAAGAAAAGCACTAAGGGTGGCGAAGAAAAGTACATATATACACACACACCCTCATTCAATCATTAACATATACACATTCGATCGTATTTGTAGTTCTGTCACTCTGGTGTGTGTGTTCACATTTGTACACTTTTATACGTACACTATCGTACATAAATACCTGAAAACTTTTTATACTTTCTATGAAATAAAGTTTTTAAGAAATATCTATGATAGATGCTACAAAATTAATTAAAATAATTAGATATTACACTACTACCTATACTAAAAAAAAATATATCTAAGTATTAAAGAAGTTGAAATATCTTTTGAATTAATCAACTTTTTACGCAAGTATCTTAATTATTTCTGTACCAAAATAAACAATAATTTACTGTTATATTTAATAATTTCATCGAAACGAAGAGGAAATGAATGTTGATTAATAATATTTTCAGATACTTAAAAAATAGTAAATATATAGTGTTCGGGTATGAAAGGAACGATAGTATACGTAAATCTGATGAAGGAAAATAAGCAAAGAGAAGATCTATCGCGCAAGAGTTTCTCTCCTCTGTTTTCTTCGTTTCTCCTTTGAGTTTATTTTGATCTATCTTTACATCCGGTTACACAGATTCGAGGACGATTCGCGTGGAATATATGTAAGTTTTGGATTACGACGAGCATTGTTCTCGACCGCTCGCGACCTAAAAGTCAGATCATCGACTACCAGCTAAAAAGTATGATATTCATCGATCATCAAAGCATGAACTTTAGGAGAACATGGATATTATTGACAGAAATCTAATCTACAGAGCTTGTGATAACTCCATTCGACCAACGATATCTTTCATCGACATACAGAATATATAAAAAAAAGATTAAAAATACACTCGCGATTAAATTAGAGTTCCCCAGGGAAAGTAGGGAAGTCACGAACTCCCACCTTTCCCCCTCGGTGGCTCCGAGGAAAATGACGATGGGTGGGAGAGAGCCCTATATATAGGTCTGTGGCGGACATTAATAATTAACTTAAAATTACCAACTATATTATAAATAAAAATTTTTCAATTAATAAATTATCAACA